AATAAAACCCATTACAAACGAGGCATTTGTTGCATCCTGTGGGGACATAATTACTGATTGTAATGACTTCTACTGTGTTTTTATTTTTATTTTTTTATTTAATTGTATATTGCGCCGCATAAACATAAAACCATGTCTGCATTTGTGATCGGAGACTGATTTGTAGTCGTGTCCTCTTTTGGAAGACCAAACAAAGTAGTTTCGCTTTCACAACGAAACACACAGAGGCTTGAGTGAGCGACGCCCGGCGGATTCGACAAAGGAGGCTTGCGGCAACCACATTTGACGATCCCGGGCTGGACTCTGCTTCGTCCACGGTGAAAGCCGAAAGGCGATTGACAGCGCGAAGTTGATGTTTTTCCTCAGCAACCAGCACGGATCAGCTCCAGGCATGAGGAAGCGGATATCGTCCTCTTTTGGAAGGCCAAACAAAGTAGAAACAATGAAACACAGCGCCTTCACGACATGGCGGCGGCGGCAACAATACTACAGCGAGAATAAAAGTTACGCCTTCTTTTTTTGCGTGAACATTTGGGCGGCGTTATGCAAATCTTCCCACACAGTGACGTAGATATGTGGGGGCGTCTTAGAACGAGACGTTTTAGGTAGGTGTGGCTGACCCTTAAGTTTTATAAAGAATATCTCTTTGGATTTGAGACTTTAGTCTTTGCAACTTTACAGATCTTCTTTATGCACCTAGAGCTTGTAACACTCCAAAGAGAAAGGAAAAATTTAAATCGCATCATATGACCCCTTTAAAAAGTAATTTATTTCTGTGCTGGCATTGGCAATGCTGAATTTTTAGCAGCCATTTCTCAATTTCTCTACTTATTATCAATGTTGAAAACACTTTATCATTAGTGCTGCTTATTATTTGTGTGGAAACCAGGACACATTCTTTTGCTTTATTTGATAAATAGAAAATTCAAAAGAACAGCATTTATTTAAATATAAATCTTTTGTAACATTATAAATGTCTTTACTGTCACTTTTGATCAATTTAATGCATCCTTGCTGAATAAAAGCATTATATTCTTTCAAAAGAAAAATCTTACTGACCCTAAACTCTAGTGTACATGTCACACTTATGTTCAGTTTGTTTAGTTATGATATAGGCTTTTAGTTTGCATTCACTAGTTTGTCTCCCTTTGTTCATTTTCCCGCCACTCCTTGGCTGTCATGGTTTCTGTCATTATTAGTTTGTATCAGCTGTGTATAATTAATTACCTTGTTTGAGCTCCTATTTAAATTGTACCTTCTCAGTCCCTCATTGTCCAGTCTCCGTTACATTTAATGTGTTTTGCTACTGCCTGTTCGCCTGCCTTGTGGAAATTTTTTATTAAACTTTGAGCTTTGGAAGTTTATTCATTAGGTGTGTTTACATGGAGCATTGTCGGTTTAAAAGTCCAATCCGAATGAAAATGCTCCATATAAACACCTCAATCGGAATTAAAATGCCCAAATCGAATGAAATTGTCTCTGCAAACACTGTGACAGTACACTTATAATGGTGTGATGCCTAAATTCGCCTGTAGCTTGTAAAACAGTTTTACAAGCTAACTAAAAACTAACGGTTAACTGGTTTTAGTTCAAATTTCTTTTTTAGATTAATTTAATCAAATTAGTATTTATCTCCCCACCAATTATCTTCAATTGCTAAAAAATGAAAATAATTATTAGTATTGGCTTATCGTATCAGCAAGAATTGTAATATCGGTGTATCTCCAAGTATAGCATAGCACAGCATAGCAAAGTTAAAATACAAACAAGTGTAACTAAACTGTAACTTAACTTCTATAGTAACCTTAAATCCTTTGAAAGTACATGAAGATAAGCAGTGTTTCAGCCCCATCAGGACTCCTCATTCCATTCAAGACAGCCTGATCTTAGTGGAATTTATTGAGTGGAGTAAAATTTTTGCAGTGCTCAGTGGAACGCAGAGTCCACAGAGAAAAATATAATGGACACTGTTCTCTGTCTGTGGACGATAAATGCTTGAATTATATCGTCAAGCAGAATTATGAAAGAAATGCTCTGAATTACAGCAGCATAAAGGAGCTGTATTCTAACGAAGAGCTTTTCACAGTGGAGAGCCACAAAGACGGTGATTAATTCTGTTGTAGCATCTCATTAATATCTCAGAGAAAATGTGTGAGGAACATCCAAATATGGAGAGTTAATCAGACAGCCGTGTGCTTTCAAGAAACGAAGACTGACAATGAAAGAGCTCATTTCTACTGTTGCTCTCTGAATGGTCTCGGCTTTTGCTTTCAGTACACAAGAGACAATATATGAAATCAAACAAAAACTGCAGCGACAATATTCCTCTTCTATTCCACAAAGTAAATGCCTCTATCTTTCAGGCAACAAAAGGAGATGTTTTGAAGAATGTATGAAAAAGAATAGTGTGAACTAGGGTTATTACAGTTAACTAAATCTAAAAGCATAAAAATTTTCAAATAAAATAAACGTTAAATTAAAATTTAAATTAAACTTACTTTATTTCAATAATTAATTCAATACAGAGATATTTACCAAAAAAGTAATAAAAAGGGCAAAAACAACAAGAGTAAAATGAAAATGAAAATAAAAAAATTAAAACTTAAAAATATTAATAAAAACGAAAATAGTAACACTGGCCTGAACAATGGAAAAATTCAGTGTCCAGTGACTGTCAAGCTCCAAAAAGAAGTCCAACTACAGTTTTGTCTGAGGAGCTAAAATGAAAGTTGTTATTCATTGAAAATCTTGCCCAAAAAGCTTCTAAATCCCATTTGTATATTAGCATATTCAAATTTGATGCATAAAAACATGTTGCACCAGATTAGATGTCCAAGTGGCTTTGAGCAGCATTTGATAGCTATTACTGAGGAGACGTTTTTATTTATTAAGAACTGACAGACCGGGAATACAGAGCACGAGTCATATGGATAAAAAAAGAAAAAAAAATATTTACCTAAATTCATTGGGGTGAAAAGCTGTTTTTGTTAAATATTCATTTGGAAACCAAAAAATGCCTGAGGAAAGTCTGCGGTAAAACTAACAAAGCAGCTGCAGAATAAATCATTTTATGGGACTAATAGGAGGATAATGGAAGCTCATTGTGAAATAATTTGAAATACTTTTCCAACCACCTCTTAATAAGCGCTGTGGAACTCTGGGAAAAAGAGCAGAGAATTTAAAAAGACAAACAAATCTGCTCCTCTGTGTTCACTCTCTGTACCATTACTGTAGGTGCCACTGCATTCTGTTTTGTTTCCTAATGAGCTTCGGAGTTAATTGGAGCTCCGACGCCTCTCGTATTTGCATCAGTTCAGGAGTGCGGTGAAAACGGAGGACCCAAAAGTGAAACTAAATGAATCACATGAGTGAACTCAGAATAGTGCGAGAGAACTTCAAAGACCTGTGCCGATATCCACTGGAGACTGTGGAGAGATACAAACATTTTGGGCGTTATTATGAGCAGGCACAATAGTGTGAGCTCATTACAGAGCCATCACAACAAACCCGAACCCAGTAGAAGAAAAGAGAGAGAAAAACTGCTGCTGTTCACAAAAAATGCACACAAAACACATTTAAAACCTGAAATACATAAACCGCCACAGTATTAGCAACAGGAAGGCTTCACAGCAAACACCTGGGCACTGACATCATCTCACCCGCTGCACCTGGTCAGACCATGTGTCTCTTGTTTACCACTGGAATGATGGGTAAAGATGCCCTCCACCATAGCTTTTAAATCTCATGTGCATTTGCATATTTAAATTTGATGTGTATAAACATGGTTTGACAAGCCAACAGCTTTGGGTGCAAATGACTGAGGAGATGTTTTTAAGTGAATAACAACTTAAATTTCAGTCTGTTCCTCACAAAATGTCAAAAGCACAAGATGTCACATGACCTCATTACACTGCATGCAGTATCCAGTTATAAAAAGTGTTACTTTATTTAAAACCATTTTTAATTTTTGTTTTTGGCAGTCTGATCAAATAATGAGTCAAAAAAGATGGTAAAGATATTGCCTGATTCATCTACAAAATGTAAGAGTTTTAAATGAATCTATAGAACAATTTCTTCAAAAAGAGAAATGTATAACAAAGTATGAGTATTAATGCAAAGCAAACAGAGTGCTGACTTCAATAAACTCAAGAGAAATGAGTCAATATTTATTAGGTTATTTTCTTTATTCATTTTGAATTGATTACATCATGCTGGTAACTGATCGATAGTGCGCAATCGTCATGTTAAAATTAGAAGCTTTGGGGATGTACTTAAATCCTGTTACTATGGAAATAAGCTCAATAAGTGACCTTTAGCAATTAGAATGTATGTATTATTGATTATGTGTCTCAAAACCCAATTTATACAAAAGTATGTGGCTTTAGTGTTGATGCACACTTCTTTTCTGTAATTGAACACAGAAATAAAGCATTTAACTGCGGTTGAGCAAAAATTCAGTCATAAAGGAGATGTTTCTGCTAAAATGGACAAAAAATTCAGGGTCAGGCTGAGTGTGTCTTTTTTCTGGTTCACTTCTCTCTCTTTCTCCCATTGATTTCGTGAGGAGCCTTGCAGCATTAATTGACTTGAGCAAGCACATCTCTCTTGAGCACATGAGAGGTAAAACAAACAAACAAACATAAAAAAGCTAATAAATTATGAAAGCTGCTGACTTCAGGGGAATTTATAAATGGGCTCAAGCTTGCTATAACTCTAATTGTGATTTTACAACTAGTACCTTAAATGAAGTGTGTGATACACGCATGTGTGTGGTGCTGCTGACATTGACACGGAAGAGAAGAATTGTTGAATAAAGTCATAATTTTTGTTTTCTTTGAGCATAAAAAGTATTCTCGTAGCTTCATAAAATTACGGTTGAACCACTGATGTCACATGGACTATTTTAATGATGTCCTTACTTCATTTCTGGGCTTTGAATGTGGTAGTTCCCTTGCTGTCTATGCAGGATCAGAAAGCTCTCGGATTTCATCAAAAATATCTTAATTTGTGTTCCGAAGATGAACGAAGGTCTAACAGGTTTGGAACGACATGAGGGTGAGTAATTAATGTCAGAATTGTCATTTTTGGAATTTTCAGAATTTTCAACCCTTTTAATATTATAAATATTTGGAAAAAAAAAAAAAATACATTTAGGTGTGTGATTTCATATTTGAAAGTATATATATATATATATATATATATATATATATACACTAATGAATAAATGAGATTATGGTAATGAGAATTTGAGACTAAATTATCGTAAAATACATGCACAAAATATGCATCTCAATGCAGAAAATCTTAAAGGCTCTAAAACAGGCTTCATTTTAAAACATAATTTCTGGTTTTACAACGAAATGTAACCATTCGCTCATACAGGAGAGTAAGAGTGGGTGTGTGTTCTGTGATTACAGTCTCGCTCTGCCTCTCATAAAAGTGTCACGGACAGAGGATGTGATCATGCTGCAGTGATGGCATCTTTAGTCCAATTGGCATTTAAATGGGGAACATGACATGCTGTGATATAACAGAGCGAGGGGAGGGGTCTGATGTGATGTCCTCTGAGACGAACCACTCCAGCTGAGCCTGAGTACTGCAGAGAGGCAGGAAGCCAGGTAGGCAGACAGGAAGGTGAAAGAAGGTAGAAGAGAAAGAGACAAGCCTGCCAAACACCTGGCTCTACATAGAAGAAATAAAATATTCTCGCTCCAAAAAGGCAAGACTCACTTCTGCCTGCTTGCTCAGTCCTACTCTTACTGCCTCCGCAGTCCACACTGCAGTATACAATATGTACACTGTGTGACTAGTACGTGAATTTTTTGTTATTCCTTTATTCTGTTATTCAGTTGTTCACTGATTAGTAGCTACAAAAAGGATACTACACAGTATTATACTATATCCCACAAAGCACTGTGCTCAACATCCATCCATTCATGAATAAATCAGAAGTATCATGGGCCTTGATTTTTAATGCAACCTTTGAACTCATTATTAGATCAGACTGCCAAAAGCTGCCATTTTCTTTTTGACGTGACATGTGGCCAAGTATGGTGACCCATACTCGGAATTAGTGCTCTGCATTTATCCCATCCAAAGTGCACACACACAGCAGTGAATACACACACACCGTGAACACACACCCGGAGCAGTGGGCAGCCATTTATGCAGCGGCGCCCGGGGAGCAGTTGGGGGTTCGGTGCCTTGCTCAAGGGCACCTCAGTCGTGGTATTGAAGGTGGTATTGAAGCGCTGTACATTCACTCCCTCCACCTACAATCCCTGCCGGTACGAGACTCGAACCCACAACCTTTTGGGTTATGAGTCCGACTCTCTAACCATTAGGCCACGACTTCCACACGACTGTTTCATTTTCACACAAAAACTTGAATTAAAATGCAAAATAATTATAGTTATTACTGTGATTAATTAGATGCAACTTACTGAATTAAACATGCAATTCAGTAACTGTTGTTGGAAAAGTTTGTTGCATAATACATACTTGGAGTCCAAAATTAACACATGCCAAGTGTTTGGAACAGCATAAGGGTGAGTAAATGATGGCAAAAAATAAATAAATCAAAAGAAATTAAAATAATTGATAACATTATTAAAAAAAAAAAATCTAAATTAAAAAACACTGCTAGTAAGAAACTGTTGTAATTTAAAAAAAAAATACATTTTGGACCCTGTGCATACTGTTTAATGTGCTAACTTAAAATAATAGAAAGTATATATTGTGTAGTGTGCAGTGAACAGAAGCCTAGTATTACATTACACATAGCCTCTTTCTTCCTCTCCTTTTCTGAAGATCACACACTGATGGCAGAATGCACTGTGCCTTCATGTCAGATAACCTTGACATCTGTCTCTCACACATTCACAGCATGGAATGAGCAGTCACACACACAAAGTTGTTCCCTCCAGCTAACTTTCCGCTCACGTACTCCAGGATGCACATAGAATCTGTACAGTCATTCCCCTTATGAAGAGTGAGGTGTCCCGCGTTTACATAACGCAAGGTCATCTTGGATCTTTCTAATGCTGATCTATGACATCAAAGAATGCAGACTCATTATCAACAGACCCCTCATGCATCACTCATCTCACATGAGTCAGACGAGATCGGACGACGCTGTCAAAGTTGGTCAAATACTCCTGTGTCATGTAGATCCTCGCACGTTAATAAGGAACTTCCCCTGAAGACACATTTCAACTGTTGTTTTATGTTTTGGAGTGACTGTTTAGGTCTTTCTCCAGACAAAGCGCTGAAACACTAGATTGAAACAATCATCATTAAATAATCTGTGTAACAGACAGATAAATGCTGCGATGTGCTAATGCAGTTATTTCTGTTTGTCTAGTCTCATACAGCCAAACTTTTGACTACTGGCATAATGTCTGGTCCACTTGCACTACAGTTCAAAAGTCTGAGGTCTGTATTTATAATTATTTTTCTTAAAAGAGTCCCTTATTCGTTCCAAGGCTGCATTTATTTGATTAAAAATACAGTAAAAACAGTAATATTGTGAAATATTATTACCATTTAAAATAACTGTTTTATATTTTAATATATTTTAAAACATAATTTACTCTTGTGATGGCAAAGTTGAATTATTAGCCATTCAGTAATACAGACTTCTATTATGCTGATTTGGTGCTCAAGAAACATTGCTTATTATCAGTGTTGCAAACATTGCATACTGCTTATAAAAATCTCTATATAAATCTCTTTTTCTCTCCCCGAGAGAAGCCTGTGTCACCCATGTAATGTCAGAGATGCTTTTCCATGCAAATCTAAAGTCGGCATGTTTGCTGAGATTTCCTCTGCCTACCAACAGCTACTTTAAAACTGCAAGCCACGGACTTAATTAGCTCATTAAGGGAAGGCAGTGGAAACTCTGCCCTGGTTTCAGCATTAGTCAAAGTCACAGGAGCAGTACAGAGGAGAGGTCAATGGAGAGAGAGAAAGAGACATACGCTGTTGACATGAGTAACGTTTGTTTAATCAAGAGACGTTCAGCCGATGGAAGACCCTTGTTATTCCATACCGTCCTGCTCGCCTCAATGGATTTCGTGTTATTGTGACTTCAGGAAAGACCTTAGCTATGATGTTTCCCAGTGATTAAAGGAATAGACATTACTTGCTCATCAAACAGATGTTTGGCAGTAGGTTCATACTCTATGTTCCAGCTACTCTTTCACGAGGCAATCGGCGCTGACTCCGTTTTCATTTTTAATATAAAGTTTTAGTAATCTGTTGTGCATTTGTTATTTTTATTAGCTTTTTTTTTTTTACATCTATGTAGTTTTCTTATTTTTTATTTTATCTTTAGTTTTATTATTTGATGTTATTTTAGTACATTTTTTAAACTAAATAAAAATGTTTCCTTGGCAAATAGGTAAAATGAAATGTTAAGTTTTTTTATATTTTATTTTATTTCAGTTAACAAAGTAACAATTGTTTATGGTTTTAGTTATAGTTAACTATAATAACCCAGGTCTTTTCCTCTTACAAAAAGAAGGAAAACCAACAGCTTTGAAAAGTGCTATACAAATAAACGTGAATTGAATTGAATCACATGACTTAAAGGGGTCATTGGATGCCCATTTTCCACAAGTTGATATGATCTTTAGGGTCTTAATGAAAAGTCTGTAACATAGTTTGGTTAAAATTCCTCAATGGTAGTGTAAAAAACACAATTTTTACCCTGTCAAAAACAGCTCTTTTCAGAGCAAGCCATTTTGTAGCATTTTCCTTTAACTGTTAATGAGCTCTGCTGACACCGCCCCTCTCTTCCGAGCTGCTCTCTAAAGGACTGTTTACTTTAGCCGCATTCATCGTGAAACTTGCTAATTAGCACATTATTAGGAAAGGCGATTTGCAAAGATTCATTAAAAAACCTTAAACTCACTTCTTCTGTAGGTGAAGCTGGATCACGAATGATTCGCGTGAACATAGACGCATTTAGGTAGATCGGGGATTCATTCCCTTCAAAAACAAACGTAATCCACTGCGTCTTCAGCGGCTCAGATGTCGGGAGTAAATGACAACTACTATGTTCATTATTACATCCAACAACAGAAGACCTCAATCGCTTAGGAGTCATTCTTGTCTACATCTGCTGCGGCAGTGAAACAATGGTGGACTGATGACAGCTCACTCAGGGTGGGTCTAAGCCAGGTAAGACACCAGTCCAGTCTGTGCTGAAACGCTACTGTCAATCAAACTATCTTGGGAGGGGCCTGTCTGTGTGATGTTTGTCATTTCTCCAATCACAAATGCAGACATGGTTTTATGTTTACGTGGCGCGATGCATCGCAACGCGTAAAAAGACAGTACAAGTCATTATAATCCATAATTATGTCCCCACTGGATGCAACGAATGCCTC